TCTGTCTGTCTGTCTGTCTGTCTGTCTGTCTGTCTGTCTGTCTGTCTGTCTGTCTTACTTTTTCTCAGCACTGAAAGCCGTTCCTGACTGAAGTGTCTTTAGGATTTTAAGCCATTCCCAAAGAGGGGATATTGACATGTTCTTATACACAGTAGAATTGTAAATTGGCTGATTTATCTATGTCATGCTCATACTGTGCCGGAACAACATAGGGGGAACTGCTGCTTTTTCTTTCCTCAACCTTTATATCGTCATATTTTTTCCTCTACTTCTTTTGTATGTTTGTCACTCTCTTGTGAAATGCTATTTCCGGGATGCCTTGATAGTCAAGCAGACTTTGTGCTGTTGAAGCTAGTGAGGTGAGCAGAGTAAGCCTGATTCCCTGTAAGGACTTCTCTGTTGACACCTAACCCTTGGCGCTCATATAACCTTATGCAGTTGCGAGTGCCGTAAAACCTTACTAAAACTGAAACTAAAAAAGTCCTTCATAATGTCTTCTTTTGACTGATAGAAACAAGCTACCCTGGTTCGCGCAATAAGGGTTAAAACAGCGTGCCTCCTAAATTGTCCGAATTTAGTCGATTGGGATGTAAAACCCTTACGATCTGTCAAGTTTTTCCTAGATGTTTTTAAAAGCCTCTATTCAAAGTAATACATTTTCCCTCATACCCTAAGTCATCACGTGACTGATGATGTGATGTTTAGAATGTACCAAGAGCTCTGAGATATAATTTCTGTTTACCTGTTATGTCATACCGTAAGGCGAGTTGTTGTTTTATACTCCACTGTATCTTTTCGCAAACTTAAATATTATGTTAGTGGGGGGTTGGCGGGTGCTTGGTGTGGCTTGCTCCTTTTTCCTATCGAACATTTTGTGTCCTGATCTCTCCTCCTTCTTTTTGGTGTTTTGTAATCTCTTGTAACACTTCTAAACTTCGGGTAGTGGGTGGTTGGCGGGTGCTCTGGTGCGGTTTGCTTCTTCTTTCCTATCAAACATCTATCGTCCTTATCTCCCCTTCTTCTGTTTTGTGTTTGTTACTCTCTTGTAACAGCTCTAATCTTCTGACACTCATATGACCTTATGCAGTTGCGAGCGCCGAAAAACCCCTACTAAACTAAAACTAAACTTCAGCACTTATATAAATGACCTAATTATATTGCAAGGCCGTAAAAGTCTTACTTAAACTAGAAATTAAATCGTTTTGTTAGGCAGTACTTTAAAAAAATTTGTTTTCAAACTTTAATTTTTTTCTGGGTAGGTATATACTCCTGTTCTGTTAGGCCGCATGTGTGGAAACGTACTGTGTAATCTTTGCTACAAACTTTATCTGTCTGTGGGGCAAGGTAGAGAGAGAGAGAGAGAGAGAGAGAGAGAGAGAGAGAGAGAGAGAGAGAGAA